AGATATACAATAAAACCGCTTGATTGATTAATAATAATTTGTATAAATAAAAATTTTTTATAATACTTTTGATAAAATTCAGTACTAAAAATTTCATTTACAAAAAAAACAATAAGATCCATTAATAGATAATATTGTATTATTTTACATGATATATATATTAATGATTTAAAATGTTTATCATATTGTATAGGTCCACTAAAAATAATTTCTTTTTTCTTTTTTTTAAATTTTTTAATACTTATAGGTAATGTATAAATACGATAATAAAATAATTCATGTTGAATATCAAAAAATGACCATTGATAAAATTCTTTTCGTCGAATTAATATCCATTCACAAATTTTTTGTGCATAATAAATTCCAACACTTGCAATACATACATTAAATACTGGTATACAACAAAATGGTTGACAAATTGGAATAAAAAGAAGATAGATAACAATTGGAATTGTAAGAATCCATTTTGATATTTTTAAAATCGAACGATTAAATATAGAAAGAAGAAAAATTGGAAAATAAAGAACTGCTAGCGCTAAACTTGTTGGTAAATAGATTTGTTTGACATCATTAATGGTAGAAAGTAAAAGACTATTCAGGTGTGGTAAACAGTCCATGTGTGATTTCATATTGTGTTTTTTTTTCCTCAAAGTAATAAAATAAAAACATCAAGAGAGAAAGAACGAAAAAAAAAACAAATCTTTTTGCGTCATTTTTATACTTCATAATATTTATATACGAGAAATGATTGGTGTATTTATCAAATATATGTTTAATGCACTACATGATATTTTTTTTCCATTTCGAACAAAAAAAAGAATTTTCTTTATTTTCTTTAAGAAGTTTTGACATATCAATTAAATTGCAATCACTTATTTCGGGCGCATTGAATGATAAACATACGAGTAACTCAATCTCTTTCCTTTATAAAAATCCTCTGATTGCACGAACATATTTCAATATCATACAGATTTTTCGTTATTTCACTATTTATCGTTTAAACTCGTTCTTTTTCACTTGTCAATACTGTAGGTTTTAAATTTTTTATATATGTAATTGTTAACTTAGTATTATAACACTGTTGCATTATTCATTCCACGTATAAAATCGAAGGTGAGGTACGGTAGTTTTATCAAAACATTAATAGATTTTATAACGGATTGACTTTTACATATACAATTTGAAAAAAGTATCGACAAAACAAGCATAAAGTTATCGCACAAAAAAGAATTCAATAATATTTTTTAAATTCATTCTAATTATATTAACAAAAAATTGTTGATAAAGTAAGAAGAAAACTATTTAACAGAGAAAAACATGAAAACAATTATTTATTACATATTGCTTTTTACATACAGCAACAAAACAAAACGGCGATATGATTTCTAATAGTAATAAAGTTTATGTATATAGTAGTAGTGCCTAATCCGTTTTGGATACATGAGTATATTGCATCTTACTGTCGCTCCAAAAATAAGCGAATACAATGCTCAATTAGACGTGATCCCCCATAATTTGAATGTAAATTATCTTCGCTTATGTGATACCCAGTGAGTCCTGGATCGATAATCTGAAAATTTAATCTATGCGACAGCTCTAAGAACTATATGTTACATTTATCAATCTCCTGTAGAACGTTAATTCCACTTGATAAGTAGCGCGTAGCTTTCAGACGCTATTGCAAGAGCTGCCACACCAGCTGTACCCTCGGATATAGAAGTCGAATGATTTCAACCGTTTCTCCTCATAATGAGCAGTTTCTTCTGCTCGCATAACATGAAGATCATTCGTTCCTAAAAGAAGTATTAGTCTACTTGCACCATACATTATTTGCCGACCTTCAATACTTCTTAACCAACTCAGCATCTTAGAGCAATTACAACCGCTCTCATAGGTAAGTTTTACTAAATCTTTTGATGTTTGTAAGTTGTACTCAATCAGACGACTAACTATAGAAGAACCAGCTACTACAGTTATTGGCTTGATTATTTGGTGACGTATGTTTTCATATTTCCATGGAAAACAGTTCTGATTAGGAAAAATTCGATAAATAGGTTGTTCACAAAATAATTTTTGGTTAGATCTTCATCGCCAACGTTGTTGTTGTCGCCGCTTGTTCTTTGCTTTTCGCGGTTTCTTTTGATGATCATGAGATATGGCTTGATTGCATGTAAGTGATTTCAAAGTTGATGTAGGCTTCATTATATATTGAGAAAATTAATTTGTAAATTGATTGTTTATTAATGTTATATTTCAAATGTCGACGTGATATTTTGAGTAAAAAAATCTTTTAAGTTATTCGTTATAATGTTTTTGTAGAAAATGATCTAGTATAATGTATACTTATTTGATACATTTTCCATTGACAATATTTTGTCAATTCTCTCCTTTTCTCACTCTCTCTCCATCTCTCTTAAGTATACGTGAAAAATATATTCCTGATGTTGCATGATATGAATGGTTAATGGATCAAAGCGAATAGACGAATTAATTTCAACACTTTTTGGCGTACGAAATACACATATAGAAGTAACAAATATTCATATTACGTGCGATCTTTCAATTCATTTGATAAAGACGAACACATCTGTTTATTTTTTAAACAAAAATGAGCGAAAGATAAATTTTACGTGCATTATTTTTTAATATCTGACATTTAATTTTCACACAATTAGAAAAATTATTTTACAAGTATTATTTATTCAAGATATGACATGATATTGATCCTTCTAAACTGATCTACTCATTATTCATTTGATTTTGAACATATTATACAGTGCAACATATCTTTCAGCTCAAATTGAATTTTTTTTATTGAAAATCATAATATGATTGAGTTATTTTTTTTGTATTTAAAAAATATTTTAAAATAAAGAATAAGATTGAATAAATGGTTATAAATCAGTAATTGAATTCTATAATAAATGAGAATTTATTTTCTCTTATTGTTTTCAAAAATAAAATTAATTATAAAAATAAAATCATAAATATGATATTCTTTATCAATTATATCATTAAAATTAGTAGTTCACATCATTTTGTTTTAGTTTGATTTATAAATATAGAAGTTTCAATATAACCATATCAGGTATGTCTATTTTAGTAATAAATAGATTTCTATTTTATTCTTTAAGTTAATTTGTTCGTGTTTAATATCAGAGAATAAGTTTAACTGTTGTGAAAATCGATGCTAAAATTGAAATGAAATGAATTTGATTTTTTTAAAACTTTTAATCACTAAAAATTGTTTCTATTTAATTTAATACAAACGAATATTTATCAAACTTTAAAAGTTCTTTTTTTCAAACGGAGAATCTTTTATTAGAATAAAAATTACAAAATAACTTATTCAAATTTTTCAAGCAGAATCTACTATTGATAGTTTTTGAAAATATTAATTTGTCTGAATCGTCAAAAAAAAATTCTGTCTCAAAACAAAATCAACGCAGATAAGTTTTTCTTTCTCAAATATATTCAAATAAAAAGAATATGAAGAAAATATTGGAAAAAAGGAGAAGTTTTTTGTTGACAAGGGTCGACAATATCAATTGAATTGATGATGACGATAGGCTTTAATTGGAAAATAAATTCTTTTTTCCTTGATTTCTTTTTATATACGCTATCGAGTTAAATTTAATGAAAGGGAGTGTTCAAACCATGATACTGCAATATTTTCTTGATAATCATATTCAACCAAATTAATTGTCAAAATTTCATTATGAAATATCCTGTCATCTTGCCTTTATGGGACTATTGCTCAAGGCTATTACTCAATGAGCATTTTATAAAATCATTTGATAAAAAGTCAATATCTCTTAATCATCCATCGGTATAATAAGAAAGAAGAAAAGAACGACAATATTGAAAAGAAGGAAAAAGAATAGTCGTGTTTCATTTATATTTCACTTTTTCTAAAGTTATCATATCGATCGTTTCAAAGCGTTTACTTATCTTCAACTTTCGCACTTGTTTTTTTCAATTTATTAGTTGTTCTTCGATTTATAATTCGTTCTTTAATTTACTAGTTGTTCTTCGATTTATTATTCGTTTTTCAATTTATTAGTTGTTCTTCCATTTAAAATTTGTTCTTCAATTGATTACTCATTCTTCGATTGATTGCTTATTCTTTGGGTTCATAATTCATTTTTCCATCGCTAACTCAATCAACTTTTTAATATAACGACATTTAAATGTGTATGGGTGTCGGGTTTTATGGAACGTTGAGTTTAGGAAATTGTTTATGTATGGGTATGTCTGAAAAAACTATGAGTTGGTGAATTATGGGAAATTTATAAAGTATTCAAAGGATATTTAGGTTCTTGGAATAATGGGTATAATGGGCGTAATCGGCAAAATCCGCAGAATGGCCCATTATGCCGATTATGCCCATTATGGTCATTTTGAAACACTTATTCATGTATTCGTCTTAAAATCAGTTTCCTGGAAATGTGTAAAACACATCGAATCAAACTAACATAGGTATGCCAATGTATATATGAATCATATCTAAATAAAATTTAATCTTTATCTTTTTTTCTAAATTTATATGGGTATATTTATGTATATATTTTTAATAGTTAAGTAGAATTTTATCTTTTGTGATGAATATGGATGATTACAAAATATGAAACTTGCATTTATTTTCGAAGTCGAATGAGACAGCCACTCAAATCATAATGTTCGTTCGCCTTCTCCCCCTTGCTACTGTGAAAAAAAATGTCGTGAGCTTCTATACTAACGAAAAACAAATTCTTTCTATTCCTTTTTATTTCGTTCCTATCCTCATTTTATATTTCACTGTTAATCTTCTTTCATTAAGGACAATAAACTTCAATGAAAAAAAAGTTTATTTCGACTCTTGTTAGAGTCAATTACATAAGGAGAATACTATTTTGTGTGAAGTTTTTGTTTTTTTTTATGATAAAATATATGAAATAAAAACAAAGCCACAAGAGAAGTAATAAAAAAGTTTTTATCGAATGATTTCAAGAACTTTTCCAACAGCAACAATTCGACCATTATCATGTAATGTAAATCGGCCAAGTGGAGAAAAATGTTGAAATGGTTCCATACAAATAACTTGTCCAGCTTGTAATAATTCAAATCTTGCTACTGCTGCTTGATTTCGTTTAATAAGACCTGGATATTCTTGAATTTTTTCACCTGTTTTTGGATCAATTAATGTTATTAATTTTTTTAATTGAACTTCGACAACAGCTGCATGAATATGAAGAACAGCAAAATAATCTGGATATATTGCTGATGTATGTTCAAGTACAAAAATCTATTTAATAAGATATAAATATATGTTTTAATTGTTTATTTATTTTACTTTTGCAATAAACTCTCTTCCAACACCACATAACTCATGATGAGCACCACATAAAATAAATCCAGGTAAAATTTCCTTAAAAAAGAAATAAAATAATGTTTTAAACAAAATTTCAAATTAAAGATACAAACTTCTTCAGTATTTTTTAATTTGAGTTGAACATTTGCACCACGAACATAAAAAGTAGTTTCACTATTTTGTTGATAAATATTTGTAATTTCAACACATGCTCGATTTGGCATTATTACACATTGATCACCAACACGACAACATCCTGATTCTATTTTACCCAATACAATTAAATCATTTTCCTATAATAAACATGTTATTTTTGTTTTTAAACAAAAGAAAAACAAACGTTATGTCTTTCAATAATAGTTATTCGAAGTGGACCATGAATACCATAATTGAATGATTGTGAAGCATTACGATTTTCATCAAAAATTGATTCTCTAAATCAAAATAATTTACTTATTCATTTTATATATATTAGATGCTTGTAAGCAAAAAAATGTTTTTTTATTTTTTCACAACTTACATTATCATTTTATTTCGACGACGACAAATATGAAAATGAATCAGTTTCATGAGTATCTCTGCGTCATTGTTATCAAAGATTATTTCAATAGCAGTTGTTTTTTGTAAGTGATAAATAAAATCATGTTCTTCATATACATTCTTTAAAACATCTTTGATAAAACACTCAATGAAACTATGAGATTCGAAGTTTCTGTTACATTTATCTATTAGTAAATTAAGTAATTCTAATTTTGATAATGTTATTTGATCAGCAAATTCTTCAACTACTTTATTAACAATTAAACCAGCTTGATCTAATTCCATATCATCTTTGATACGGTTTAAAATATCCTGTTTATAATCATAAAGTGTTACTTTGAGCACGTTGTCTTGTTTATTGTGTATTTCGCAGGCTAATTTTAGATTATCGATAAAAGGACTTAACAAGTGTGCAAATGCGTGTTTCTTTATTTGATCACTAGCGTTTTTTCTACAAATATGTATAAAAATATTTTAGAAAAAAAAAATGGAGCATCGACTTACTGCAAATCAGAAACTTGACTTTGTAAATTTTTCGTTGTTTTTTCAAGCTCTTTGTTATTATTTATTAAATTACGAACATCAACTTGAAGATTACCAACATCAGCTTGAAGACTTGTATTTTGACTTGTGACAAGATCAAGCTTTTTTTCAACTTGATTTAATCGATGCTACAAAATAAAAAAAAACTCTTTGGATCAGTTTATATGAGCTGGCTGAAGAAGAACACTTACTACTAAATGGTGGACTAACATCTCTATTTTATTTATTATTTCTTCTAGATTTTTTTTTCTTTAAAATTTAATTTTGAAATTTTAACAAAATCAAGAAGTTTTTTTTTATTACTTGATTAATATTAGTATCATAATCTTCAATAATATTTTCATTATCTTGAATAATTGGGCTAACAAAATGTTGCAAACAATAAATACATTGTAATGGAGCTTCTGGTCCATCTTTTACTATTGAAAATACTTGGTTAAGTAAATCACGTAATTCATTTCCTGAAATAGATAGAAGAAAAAAAAATTATTAGAAAAAAAATGAAAAGTTTATGGAAACGTAAATATAAAAATAAGAAAAACAATAAGAGCAATATAAATATCATTTTGTTATTGATTCTTAACTCACTTTGGTTTGAATTGAGACTATCAACATCAGCTTCTTTTGATTGTTTTTTACTTTTCTTTTGTCTTTTTTTTACTTGATTTTGTTTCATTTGTATCATTGGATGAATCTGATCGTTATTTTCCTAGAATAATGAAGGCATTTTTTTACAATTGTTCACAATAAATTTCATAAATTTACTTTTTTGAAAAATAATTTTTTACCAAAATCACAAATATAATTTATTACATTAGTAATGAAATAAATTAATGAATGTAATATCAGTCGGATGATATTCATTTATCGAGCCAATTAAATATAAATTTGACTGATGTTTAAAAACTAATTGCAATAACAAACAAATCTGAAAAAGAAGATTATTTGGGTTTTTTTTATTTAAAATTAATACAAAATCAAAATAAGACAGTTGGGGTATCTAATTATAACCATCGTAATAAATGTCTATCTATGCATGCAAAGACAAGACACATAAAAAAAAGACAAATTATTCATTTTTTCTTACAGCAGTTTACGTTTTACTATTCATCGATATTATATAAATGAGAAGATAAACAAAAAACAAACATATATGTTATGGTCAAAATTAAAATTCAGTCAAATTTAAAATTTGCCTAGTCAAAATTGAAATTTTAATTTCGTCTAGGCAAAATTAAAATCTTATTTTTGACTAGACGAAATTAAAATTTCAATTTTGACTAGGCAAATTTTAAATTTGACCACAACATATTCATTCATTTGCATGGCACACAGAACATAGAAATAAGATTTATACGTGCGATCGAGTTTTTCTTACTTTAGGATTGAATCTCTTTTTCTCCTTCATGCATCTCTTGAAGAAAAAAAACTATACATATGACAGGTGGTGACAAAACAAAACCACTAATGAGACAAAAAAAAGGAAAAATAAAATGTTTAATATCTTGGTCGTTTTCATTCAAATCCTTGTTGTTGTTGAACAAAATCATCTTCACCTGCACGTGCATTTGGTAAATCATAATCATGTGCTACTTGATTTGTTGTATAAGCAGTATCAATTGTTGGTGCAACAGGTGATGTTTGGTGAATAAATGGATTAGAATTTGGATATGCAACTTATTGAAAATTATTATATTATAATGCAGTTGCTGCTGCTTGATTTTGATGAATACATTACTTACAGAAGTACTAGACATATATTAAATGGATCATTATATACATCAGGAGGACGCATAGGTATCATATTACGACGATGATTTAATTCCTGTGGTCGAAGTTCATCAATTCGACGAAGATCTTCTTGATGACGTAATAATTCTAGAAGCAACATAAGACATTTAGCAATTTCTCCTTCTTTACAATATTAATTTTAAGACACAATCTAATAAAGATTTTGAAAGATCGAAACATACAATATGAATATAATAAAAAAGGAAGAAAAACATATGGAAAAATTTTTAATTGCGAAGGATTTATGCATGGCGGCAAACATCTTCGAATAATTTGGTTTATTTCAGATATCTCAGTGTTTTTCTGTTGCCTCAACATATATTAATTCCATCCATTGAAATATTCATTTTATAATGATAATTTTTCTCTCTATTCAAGTTCTATATCTTGTGAGAACCAATAATTATTTAAAATCTTTCTAAAATCATTTGACTACACAGTAAATATTCTCATTCTCAAACACTGCATATAATATATTATTCGTAGTTTCTGATTAACTTATCGTAATTAATAGTTGGCTGCCGATATCATATTGTTTCTAATTCTTGAATATACGTTTAACTAATTCTTTATAGCTCTGTTTCTAGACAAGATATTGAATGCAAACAAAAATAAATCATGGATATTACATGAATATTGTAACTGTTGGTATAATTATTTTACTTTGATATATAATTAACACTACATAAAAACTAAGATATTCGATCAAACTGGTATAGAACATTGATTCAGTCTTTTATACTAAATTGACAAATATATAAATAATGATATCAGCAAACAATTAGAGAAATTCATTTCTTATTGATTATAAGCAAGTCATTTGATCGATTTTATCGCTAATTTATTCAAACAAACGCAAAGAGTTCATTTATCTGGGAAAAGTAGCAAGTTGTCTGAGGATTAACTATTGCTCTGTAGTTCACACGATATAAAAGAAAGAAATTGATTACAATATTAGATATTAACGAAGAAGAAAATATATGCTTTAAAAATAGAAAATAAAATATTTTCTGTCTAAAAATTCGACGAACAACTTCTATAAAAGTTATTTCAAAGTTCAGCAAAAGAGAACTTTACATTTGTGTTTTTCAAGAACAAAAAGAAACTTCAACAGAAAGAACTAAGAAATATTGTTCATACTCATTCTTTATTCTAAAAAAAAAACATTCATCATAATCTTATAATGTTTCTGTTAACGAGAATACATCATATATCTAATCTAAATATACAAATATAAATTTCTTTTTCCTTCTGATTATTCTTTTTATATATAAAAGAAAATTTTATATTAACAATCAAAATTCGTCCTTTGATGATCTTTGATTAATATAACATACACATTACAAAAAAAATATGTAAAGAAAATTCAGGAAGTGATTAGAATTAATATTACACAAATTTCTTTGTTCTTCTCAATACTGATTCTATATGATTATAAATTTACACACATTATTATTTCGACTGATAAACCATTGAATTTCAATTTATTAATTTTTTTGTAAGCTTATTCAATCTTACCGTCTCATAAAACTTGTGATTGATGTTCTAATTACATTTGATCAATTTCAATTTCTACTTGTTCAAATAGCATATTGCATACGTCTTTTTATTTCTTTTAATAATTGTTTTTCTTGTAATTTTAATTCTTTCCATTTAAGACCAATTGTATATTCAATTGTATTTAATTCAACAAAACATGGCTTTGATTCTCATTCTCTGAAACAAACAGAAAAAAAAATTCTTTTTTTTTTTATATAAAAATAATCTATTTAAGGGGGCCTCTTCACTCAAAAAAGTTAGTTTTCGGCAGAATGGTCAAGATTGAGATAAATACATGGGGAGGTAGCCTGTCATTTGCTCTTTCATAAACGATAAAATTTTTCTTCGATACCTCCTTTTTTCCGAAAAACGTTCAAGATTTTTGACAACTCCTATTCAAAAAACCAGCGGTTTTTGAAAAAATCCAAAAATCTTTTTCTTTTTTTCTCAAAGTGGTAGCCGAACGACGCATCACCAACAAAAGTCAATTATAATCCGATATAAAGTCAAATATTTTTTTTTTTGTTTGAAAGAGCATGTCAGGATGCAGTGCCTCTGAGGGTCCTTTTTTTGATAAAGCTTTCTTATTATTATATTGAAAAGTGACTTTATAATATAAGCATGATTTTTTTGAGGGATTTTTGAGTGATTGAACTTGTGAAACCTGTTTTCCTTCATAAAGATAAGAATAAAAAAAAAAGGGCCCTCAGAGGCACTGCATCCTGACATGCTCTTTCATACGAAAAAACAATGAGCCAAATTGAATGAACACCATACCATTTTGAAGAGAAAAAAATTTTGAACAAGAATAGTTAAATAGACTTCTGTTGTCACATGTACTATTGAAACTATAATCGAAAAACTTTTTTTTCTTTAGTCACGACTTTTTGGTCACGCCGATGCCTAATATACAGACATTTATGTAGCTAGACACCCATTTTTGGCGCGTTTTTGAGTCATTGAACTTGTGATCTCCTTTTTCCGCTAAAAAAGTAAGAATTTAAAAAAGGACTCTGTGCTGCACGGCATCCTGAGATGCTCTTTCAAACAAAACAAAAAAAATTAAATATATTGAAAGAGCCTGGACAAAGAAAAATGGATTGCCAAATGAGCTATTTTTGACCCTTGTTTGGTTCATATCTGTGTCAAACATCAGGGTATCAAGCTGCGAATTTTACCACAGCCTCCTCGCTTCAGCCTCAACATATGCTCCAAGTTTCAGCCCATTTGAACTTTCCTGGGTTGAGATCGATTTTTGAGGGGGGGGGGGGGAGACCTTAATATAAGCAAAATTATCTGAAGTATTCAACAATATACAATATTGTTAATGGAGATTTTTAATGTTGATTTACTTTTTATTCATTAACTGACAATAAAGAAATGTGTAAGATTAAGAAATAAAGATAAATAATTTTTTTTTTGAGAATTGAAGAATTTATTTGTCATTTATCGTTATTTTCTAATAAAGTATTTAGAATGTTTTCATAGTTTATTTTTGATGAATATTAATAATAAGTGGATCGTTCTTGATAAGGATTAATTGAAAGTCCTATCATCACTTTTAATCGACTACTTGAAAAATAATTTAATTTATTTTTCTTAAATAAAAGTTGATTGATGATATTTCAATTTATACAAGATAAGTTTCAATCAGAGATACTAAATCATCCTCATTACATAGGAAAAAAAAATTATTAAATAAACAACAATCACACAAGAAAATATTTTCTAAGCTGATATAAGAACATCTCCATTTTGTAAATGTGTTATTGTCGGTAGATGATTACGTTTTTTTATATTATCATTATTATAAGATGATGTATTTGTTGTTAATAATCCATGATCAATAAATGTATTGACATAAGATAAAGATGGTGATTGTATATGTAATGGTGCCCGTCGTTGTGTTTTATCAAATCCTTGATAATGTCGATAAAAACGAGGTGATAAATTTGTTTGTGGAACAATACCATGTATAAATTTTGGTTGTGTTATTAAATAATTTTCATAATGTTTTGAATAATCAGTTGATAAAATCGGTAATTGTTGAAATTGATAAATTTCATTTGAAAAATCTGTTGATATAGCTGTTGATGTTGATTGTGCAAATGATGATGATGATACTTTATCTTCTGATGACGATGATAATAATAAACGACATCGATGTGTTTTAATAAGTATTGTTATAATAGATATAATAAGAATAAAACATAATAGACTAATAATAGTTATTATAATTAAAATAAAAATAAAACTATTTGATATTGTATGAATTTGTTTTGTTGATGAAGAAAATAAAGTAATTGTAGATATAGTTGAAGAAAAAAATGATTCATTTCGTATTTTTTCATTCATTTTTTGAAATATTGTTAATGGTCGACATTGATTATTATCACAAATAGTTCCTAAAAAAAATTTATTAGAACAAAACAAAAAAAAAACAAAAGTCTTAAAATTATTAATTTACCTGTTGGACATTTTCTTATATTTAATCCAATATTATTTTCATCATCAAATCGACATATTCCTGTTGGTTCTAATTCACAATCAAAAACTCCATTAATTTTTCTTACTTTACGTGTATATTTTGGACAAATACAATATGATGTTTTACTTTCATCACACCATTTTAAACAACGTTGTGGAAATTTTGTACAATTACTTCGATCTATTGAATCTGTACATATACGTCCAATACCAGTTATATCAATTCGTGTTATATTATCATTTGAACATTGACATGTTTGTGATATTTGATCACATTGAATAAAATCATTCATAGAATATCGATTACTACAATCACTATTTGAATAACATTTTGTACCAATAGATTTTTCATAATCTATTTTAAATTTAAATGTTTCATTTGATGCTGTTAAATAAACAAGTTGTTTCGAACAATCATATGCTTTACATGAACGAAGAGTTATTTCTCCTAAATATTAAATATATACTTTTTCTTTTTCTTTTTGATTTAGTAATAAAAATTATTCAAACGAACCTGGTTGCAAAAAAAGTACTGATTGCATACCAAGATTAGTAACATTTATAACACTCAATTGTGTTGTCATATATTCTGCAATCGATGATGATCTACTTGTATATTTATGTTGTCGCATAGTGTATTGACATTCTGTAAATGTCAGATTAACAGGTTGATGAGAACATTTGAGTAATAATGGTAAAAGTAACATCCAACGATTATTTAAATTATAAATAAGTGTATTACTAATTTGATTTCCCCTATTATTATTATTGTTAAATGAATAATGGCCAATAAAATCGATTGAATTTGAATTAAAAATATGTGCACCAAGTGAAATATAACGATTTGTATCAAATATACAATCAGCTAATATAATAGATGTACGAATATATGGACAAGTAGCCAATATTTGGCTTATTAAAATGAATAAATAAACAAAGAACAATCGAATAAACATCGCATGGCTTGTGTATAATAACTATATCCACATTATTATCTAAAAATAAATCAAAAGAACAATCAACATTCTTTCAATATTATAGTCTATACTATTGACGGTCACTGTCAATCGTACTAACATATAAATAATAAGTCGACTTGCTACTATGTAGATATTTCAACGAGAGAAAAAAAAAAGAGCCGTCAACAATAATTGGAACAGTATGGGCGTCACTCTGTCGCACAGTTAGTCTCCCTCTTTCTTTATGGCAATCAACAAAAATTCGACGTGGCGACTGTTTCTCATCAAGTGAACATATAAGTACATGTGAAGAGAACGGAGCGGTTCAATTCTTTTTTTTTTTTTTGTTGTGCTTATACGACTGTCGAGACTGACACATAATTTATCGCAGTTGATGGCGTATATTTTTATATATATATAATAACTTTCGCTTACACATTTCTTAAACATATAAATAACCATTTGAGCTAAGAGTATACTTGAAAAATGATGTCCTTTAAATTCAATTAGTTGGTATTAAAATCTATTTGCATCATTTAGTAGAGTCCTTTCAAAATCAACAGATCATAAGTAAACCAATATCGAACAGATGGTTGTCAGATTAAATTAAAATACTGATGTATCAAAATACTATAATAATTTAAACCTGATGATGATGATGACAATCGATGACATGGAATATATATTGATCAAATGAATCGATTTATTTCCCAATATAACTTGCAATAAGGCAATTTAATGTTGATTGCTAGATAATTGTCTCAAATTTCCACGTTATTCTCATTCATTCTTTTTCTTCAATATTTATATGATACATTCATACACGAATAACGGAAAGGAAGATTCTCTCTCTCTCTCTCTCTCCTTTTTTTTCTCTCTCGTTACGTTCAAATATTGTTTGTACAAATTATATGACAGATAATCATCTCATGCAACATACATACACGCGTGTAAGATTATGTTTTTTTTTCTTACCATAGAAAATCAATAATAATTCATTTTTCCATAATGGAACAAATGTTTTATTCTTCTTTTTTTTTTATACCTGTAATGACAGTTGAGTATTTGTACATCTGTTCTTTCTTTCTCTCTCTCTATGTCGCCGATGGCAATAAAAAAAAAAAACCTCAAATGAACAGTACCATTTTGAAGGAAATAATGTCGGTGATTGACAGCTGTGATATTATATGACGACATGAATATACGGTATTATATTGGTGCTTTGTCAGTGATGGCACATCACATTATACGCTCTTTTGCAATAGATGTATCGCCTTAAGACACTTCTCACCATATAGCTATTGATTATATAATAAGAACAACAACATTTATGTGAGTGATCACTTCTGCTAATAAGATTGATTTCGAACATGAACAAATAAACATTCCATATGATTCACATATGAGTTTAGAGATGACATTAAAAAAAAAACAAAAAAAAGAAACTAATATTTATGATTTATATGTATATATTAAAATGATTATTGTTGTCTTTTTTTTCTTTCTTTCATGATACAATTATTTAATGGCAAAGAAATTCATCGTTAATGAATTATTATATCTTTTTAATCTTATCAAGATATGTACGTGTGTATGTTGTTTCATCAAGAATAATCTGAACAAAAACTTCTCATTTCATATTGGACATTAACGTTGTTTTTTCTTTTTATACTGTATATAGTAAAAAAGTAATTATCTAAAAGATTCTATGTAATTTGTTTCGTAAAGATATTAAATGATCTTTTTTATCATAATATAAAATAGATATCTTGCTAATCGATATTATTACAACATTTTTCTTTTAGAATGTTGGAAATGTCAATGTTAAGAAGTATAGATTATCATTAGAAATGTGCAAAAATTAATTCAAGTTCTTAGGATATTCTTAAGAAAAAATAAATTTCTATAAAACAAAACTTGTCAACAATTTTATTTGAGTATTTGCTAGATTAACTGAATGATAAAATGAATATTTTTGTTCTAAAACAAAAGGCATTTCATTTTCAATATCTCCATGTTAATCACAAATATTGATTTATTCATTCGCCATCGAAATCAGTGCCAAGAATAAGTGCACGTTGATATGCATCAAACTTTTTCAATGATATTTTAGGTAAATCACCACTAGAACCTAAACAAACAGAACTAAATAAATAAAATTAATATTCATTTTTTTTTGTTACTAACGTGTTTGTACTAATTCTGTACTCCAATGTGTTAATGTACAATTATTTTCTACTAATAATTTACGTTCTTTTCGAAATTTATCAATTGTATATCCTTGTACAAATGCTGTTGGAATCATACAAACATAAGCAACTATTCTTAATAAATCTATTGGTTCATTTTCATGTCGTTCTTCAATTGAAAATGCCGGTGAATTACAATGTATAAGACGACTATCCCATAGAACAAGATCACCTGCTTGACATTGAATAAATTTTCCAATAGCTCGACCTCGATCTAAAATTGGATGATCACGTGGTATCATAATAAAATCTTTTAATCGATGACCAAGTTGAGTTAATTGTGCAAAACGTAAATGTGAATATGGAACAACAATTAAACCGCCTGTTTTTTCATTTTGATCAGTTAATGAAACAAATCCTTGTATACAACATCGATTAGGTTTTAATACAGGATTTTGATCAACATGATACCATCCACTTTTAGTTTTCCATTTTGAATCATAACGCCAATCACGAAAAACACCACAACCATCAAACGAAACTAATAATTCATTTGTATTCCATATTTGTGAATAAACACGTTTTATATTTCGATTTGAACGAATATTCCACATAAAATCAGATTGACCAATACCACAATTATTTACAACACCATGAGATGGAAAACCTGGCCTAAGAAAAAGAAAAAAAAAACACATCATCAGAAAATCTTTTTTTTCTTATATGTTTACCAATAGGTTGACCATGTTGAAGGATCATCACGTCGAATATTACATCCAGGAATAGTTTCAAAAAATTTCCATAATAAATCTTTATTAATATTAATTTCATCTTGTGATAAAACATCACTAAAAACTGCATAACCATGTTCATTTAAATAATTAATACCTTCGTTTAGACTTTCTTCATTAGTGATTGAATACCGTGGTGTTAATGTTGTATGATCAATACGTATACTATTTTTATCTGAACTATATGAAGTTGCCATAAATTTATTATTTTTTTTTCTTTTAGAAAGATGATGAAACTTGATTTACTGGAGTATATAAATGGGTAAAACATTGTTGTGATATTTTTTGTAAGAATTGTGTAATAACTGACACATGTGCGAAAAAAAAAACTGACGAAGTATTTCGCAATAACTGACACATGTGCGAAAAAAAAACTGACGAAGTATTTCGCAATAAC